ATATGCGGGAATTCGTACACCTGCAAGGAGCAATAATAACGCAAAGAATTTGCGCAACAGTCAAAGCACAGGGAAATTTCAGCTCCTGAGGATCACCACATGTGTCACGCGGCCACAGGGAGCAGACAACGTGACACACCTTGTGTGTCACGCGGTCCGGATTGTGCTGACTAAAACCTTCGAGCGTCAACCTTCAAGCACCCACTGAGGAATCCTCCACGAGGAGGGTCGTCTTCGGCTCCCTGGGAAGAGGGCAGTCGTATCTGGAGAACATAGAAGGGTTGTGACAACATGAGTACAGGATAGGGGTTAAAAGCAGCGCTAATGAAGTTGTAGTGTGCATGAACCAATTTAGCGAGAACACATGTTATACTAGACTTTTTCCAGAAGAAATTGGAACAGTAGCAGGAGTTCAATAATATTAAGAAGCGTGGATGTCGTGGTTTCCAGTAATCTTGACTTTCTCTCAAAAGTTGTGGGCAAATGAAGTTATGTCTCTGCAAAGGGCGACAACCTGCACATAAAGGATATTTCTCCTTTGCTGGGAAAACCTCAGCAGTAAATTTTTTTGACTTGTGGACTTCTGTAATTGGTTTCGTGGTTGTTGAGAAGGACGAATCTTCTACGTTTCAGTGTCGATTTTTGTTTTGCTCTGGATCCTGTCTTTGTACTTCCTGAAAGGTTGGAAACTCGCATGCTCCTGAAATGTTCATCGTTAATTTTGATGAGAAGTCGAGAGACCTCCTTTGGCACCAGTTTAGTACCTGTCAGGTGGACTCCTCCGAGAGGTCACGAATCGCGCTCATTGCTTTGTAAAATGTTGTTCCTGAAAGTTAGTACTATCCTTTGAAAAGCACTAGGATAACGACCAGTGAAATAGCGAGCTCTAATGCCGAAAGAGCGCAGCTGAAATAGAAATGACTGCACTATCTCCCCTCAAGCGTTTGAGTTGTTATTTCATTCTCTTTTCATTTACTAGAAGTGGAGGGGAATGTACAGACATCCACTTTTGTAGAGGAGTCGTACTGACCAGCCAATTTTACTCAGCATGATGCTTGACCCTGGCCGCATACAAAGGGTTCGCCACATATCTGAAGATTTGTGTGAAGGCAGAGGAGAGGCACGCCATCACATTGTGTAAAATTTCGGCACTATTCAATTATTACTACCACAGTTTTCCGAAAGCGGACCGGAATTCGATCGACTTTTTTCTACGGGCCTTCTAAACACGATTTTCACATTCCCGAAACGTGCCTGGCGCCCGCGCCTACAGGCGCCAGCGCCAAAAACCCTAAATCACCGAATTCGCTGAAAACTTGTCCCCAGGGTAGTTTGACCTCCTGAACACGAATATCACATCCGCTCCGCCCGAAACTGCAACAGGCGCCGGCGCCAAAGTACGTTCAGTGTCACCTAAGAATTTTCATGTTTGCACAGTCACTATCCCTTCTTGACGTGTGGCATCTTGTGAATTCTGAAGCACTGTCGAAATCTAGAAGACTTCCTCCTCTTCAGAAAGCACCTCGCTTTCTTCTTGATCCCACTAGTTGAAAACTTCCCCGTTGTGGACAGTTTCCGAGAGGCATGAGAAGACCATTCCTCCTCCATAGTACCACTCTAGTTCGTTCGAAGGCTGAGTATGCTTTTTACGTCAGCAAATCATTAGGGAATAGTTCACTCGACGTCGGCTGACACCTCTGTATTGCGCCATGCATCCGACTCCCACCAGAGGTGCTGTAAAGATGTAACATCAACGAATTTCTTCTCTGTGCAAACAAATGTGCTTCCACGGTCCAGAAGTTCCGAGCGCATATTGTTTTTAGTTTGTTTATTGATTCATGACGACGTGTGGGTGGCTACCGGACTTCTTGTCACCTTCCTCTCCCCACTGCTGAGCTTGCAGCTTTCTTCTTTCTTTAGGTGTCTCTTCAGGTGTTCTTCACAACAAAAAGTACAGGTTAGTCTTTAAATTCACATGTGAAGGAGCCCTGCGCTTACGAGTCCCCTCCCCTCTGGTTAAATGCGACCCCGGTTGTGAGTACCACTACGGATGGGTTTCTGGGGAGAAAGGAGAATCAACTAGATATTTCCCAGTATTTGAAGTTGGCACTGTTCCCAATGTATTATATTCAGATTGCGAGTTCATTGCACTACACCCTTCGGTCTTCCACTCGTCGAAGTTGAAGACAGGGTTTGACCAAAATTCTTGATGAATTAGATTTAGCTATAACTATATCCTTGAAGGTGCTTCGGCCTCCAAAATGCGGATGGCCCATCCGTTGGACTCGAAACCTTCTGGCGCTCACGCTGCAGGCGCCGCTGTCAGGACACTCCGAGACATTGCTTAAATTCTGATAACTCGTCAGAAAAGATGGGCTTTCAAACAGGTGCAATATAAGTGCTAAGAAGGTCAAACTATGCTCAAAGGCGAAAGTCTGGTCGGACTCACTCCCAGGGAAGACTTCTATCAAACTGTGGCCTGAATGTTTCTAAAAGTAAGGTAGTATACGGCCTGATAGTCGAATTTATTTCTGGAAGTTGATGCCGAAATGTCATCAAATTAGTGCAAATATTTGGGATTGCGAGCACAAAATTCGAGATGCCCACCATACCAAATGAGCGTTTTCCCGAGGGGAAAAAGTTCATTTTATAGTGAGAAGTCAGCAGTAGACGCGAAAAAAGGGCAATCTTATTTTCAGGCTAGTTGCCTACGCAAAGTGTAGGGAACGATTCAAGAAGCACTTCTTTCTTTGAGCTATCTCTTTGTAGTGAGGACATTGACAGGGATAGTGTGTACTTGTCATCCATACGTTTTTTCGGTTTTTCAATTATTCTTTCTTTGATGCTGTTCCAGCCATCTGTCTTTTAGCCTCATCGTAACCTCGTTTTCCCTTTGCACAAAGGAAGTGCCACTCATGGTTCATTGATGCTTTGTATTCTTTCTGAGGTCCGAACATGTCTTCGAACTCTCACTCGAAGCTGATGGACTTCTCTCCTCTAAACAACCACAATATTTACAGAGCTCTTGCCTGAGTTGGCTTGGCGATGACCTGATGCTACTGTTGCTGTCGACTCGTCCCGTTCTTCCCATAAGGCACGGCAGGAAACAACATTTTCTGAAATGTCAGTAATCTCTTCACTTTTGACAGAGTACAGTATGCTTCGTGAACTGGTGTATTGGAAGGTTAACCCACAAGTAACTTGGGTTACTGCGGATGTTCTCACAAAATGCTGAGTTATGGGTAAAGTTCTTGACTCCAAATGGAACGCGAACCCTGTATCTCACGCTTTCCGATCGAGCGCGCTATCCGTTACACCACCAGAGCCTTCTTGTCACCTCAGGTTGACGGCTTTTGTGCCATAACCTTGAGCGCGAAGGGTGTGAATGCTGTAAAGCAATGGCATAAAAGTCATCAAACTGTGGAGAGAGAGAGCTTGGTGGCAACTAAGTAACCGTAACGAGCTCGCCTGCGAGACGTCAGGTGCCGTTCTGAATCATGTCCTGGGAGCGGAATTTCTCTCGTAGCCAATGCGTGTCCTATTCAGAAGCGACTTGTCCCTCATCCAATTCTATGAGTATAGCTCGAGGTTACTAAAACCACCCTGGTTCATGCATTCCGTTTGGAAAGGATATATGTATAGGTCGCATAAGTGCTATAGGAGTTACGCGCAGTAAAAAAAGTAGTAGTGCGCTTGATTCTACCAGTGTTACGTTTAAACTGAATAGCAATTTCTATCTCGTCTCGCCTTACCTAAGACTATCAATTTCAGCTGATCCTACAAATATTCTCGACAATATCATGATTCGGTATGACAAGCGGGTAAGGCCGAACGCCGACACTCAACATCCTGTCATCGTCCACATGACCATAGTGCTTGGTATCCTAACAGAAGTGGTATGCTTTTCATTTTTAATTCCACTTCGCTGATTCACCTAACACTTTCTACAAAAGCTGTGCTCTCAGTGAGTGACAGGCCTTCTGTCAACTATTAGACTGCTGCTGAAATTACAGTCCTCATCATTGCGGACCGGTGGGGCGTGTCAGCCAGTATGAGTGTGCACACTGTTGAAGCCGTTCTCAGCCTTTTTGTTGAAACGCGTATGCGACAAAAAGTGGTAGAAAACGAGTAATACGGAGGATATAATACAGTCATATCATTTGCTCGCTTTAAATACTGGTGGAGAGCGGGTTTGGCACCGCGCCAAACGCAGCCGCACTGAACCGCCCCGACAGTACGTAATGATGAGGACTGTACTTCATACGTGCACTCCACATCCCGGAGTCACTGTAGGCGAGGACGCGTACTTTGCTCTAACATGCATGATAGGTTATTCATTTGTGATATTTCAATTTGAGGCAGCAGTCGCCTTGTCTTGTCTTGGACAAAGACATAAGTACAATTGTCCCAAAATGAAAATGTCTCACCAAAAGTGCAGCCGCCATCGCGTTCATATGAAGTACGAAGCCACATCTGCTGGGTCTCAGGGAGTTATGCTTAGGGAATACGTATAGTGTATTCGCTGCGGACGGTTGGGCGTGTCAGGCGGGATGAGTTTGGCGTAATGCCAAACTCGTTCTCCGCCAGCTGTAAAGCAATCGAATGATATGGCTTATCATATCGTTGAAATTACTCGTTTCCACAACATTTTGTAGCATGTCCGCCCTCCAACAAGAAGGCAGAGAACGACTCCTGACGGGCGTCACACACTCAGACGGGCCTCCACACAGCCAACCAGCCGTAGCCGAATAGAGTGCATGATACAGAGCAAGAGCATTTTTCAACTTGGTTGTTTTCAACAATAATTTTCAATGACTATTTCTTCAAATGAGATCCATCAAGACAAGAATCAGGTTAATTTATCTGAATATTTATTGGTGCATAGAACGCTCATTTCTTGTCTGAGGTTTCGATACTTCCATCTTCTTCAGAGGCCTAAAAGTGTTTTGAATTCGATAAATGAGCTGTACTTAGACAAGCTTCCAATCCGCTATGGCCGTTCCAATGACGTGATTCATTCTCATTTCATTAAATCCCAGGCAACATGAAATAGCCTGAACCACAAGCAGCCATACTAGAACACTGAGTAACTGGTCTTTGTGGAAAAATCATGGTTGCATGCATACAAGGGTGGTCTACTAGCTGGAAAGCTGAACATGCGAATGCACCCAAAGGGGCGCGATAAGTTTATGAGAGTCGGTGGCAAGTGTAAAGCTAAGGTGCATTACGGAAACTTTCGAAGTAATGTACAGAATATTAGCGCAGGAGAAGGAGATAGCGCCACAGAAAGCATTGTAGGCATCCTGAACTTCCATAAAAAATCCTACTATGGAATCTAGACCACCCATGGATTAACGAACTTCTACAACGGCACAGTAGAGAGTAAACTGTCGTTTTCACTGCAGGGCGTGTCAGACGGGTTTGGCGCAGCGAAAGTCCGTTCTCCACCAATTCTTGAAGCGGGTAAAAGACAACAGGTGGAAAACAACCGACTCCTCGTCACGCAACCTTTACATGAAACGCCCTAGTCTTTCATCACTTATTGTCATTATCTATCCATTTGTGCAGCTCCTTCTCCCCTTCCCTGGTGATTGTTTCCATCAGCTTCACAATTATCAACCTCATTGCTGCTGATTTCAGAGAGAAAACCAACAAGTCGCCAGTTTTGTGATTTCCCATTTGCAGGTGAGTGAAGGACAATAATGTCGAGATTGTCAGAAAACTGTCTTGAAACAAGTTACATGATCACCTGTTTTAGCGCTGGCACGATCCCAAACTTCAGTGGGAACCGGAGAAGTTCAACGGCTTGAAACAGGTTGTAATGCCACAGAACCTGGTCTGGGTTCCGAAGCTGTTCATCTACAATAGGTAAGTCTAGTGTTCTACATTGTGAAAATTCTTTTAGCTCTCACTTCAGTCGAACTCTTGAAAATTTGTCAGTTATATTTCACGACATAGTCAATTTGACTATTTTGAAGTATTGAGCACCCGATGTGCATAGTTTTGTGAAGCTGGGTCACGCATCATGTGGTGATTGCCCTGTCGGTATGATCTTTTTCAGAAGAGTGTCTAAACTGGAGTTTCCTTGCCTTCATTGGCTGACTACATGGTTTGCTTATTTTGTGACTGCGTTGGTGTGGGAGTGAAGTGCCACCTGCCCCATTGGATCTCTTTCCATCATTCAGTGTGTACATTCATCGGCAGGAGATCTTTTGTAAGGTGGTGGTCGGTGGGAAGGATATACCAAAAAATAATGGAACAAAAGAATATCTTATATGGGGGCTTCGGTCTAAAATAAATGCAGAGCACTTCGGGTGCAAATACTGAGTTCTCCACTTTCTCATTTGGCTCAAACATGCTCAGGTATAAACAGCAAAGATCCTTCTGTTTCCTCTCCTTTCTCCAAGTAAATGCCGTCGCTTTACAGCGCGTTCCCGTACAGGGAGAAAAGGAGAAAGTTGAGAACCGAAACATTCTTCTCAACCCCTTTTACCCCTTCCCCTTCTATAAAGCGGTTTGGCCTAAACGGTCAAGCGACTTGCGAGGTGAATTGCAGATCAGCTTGTAACCCTTGGTTCATCTTTTTTTGTGAATTGATCGCCAACAAAACTCAGTGTTTCCTGTCAGGGCAGACTCAATCCTCTAAATCGCGCAGATGCGCTAAGATTCCTTACTACACACGGACCACGCGACCCATAGGTTGTGCTCCTTCCCACGAACAAGACAGTAATACCTCATTAGTGCGGAGTTCAATGATCAAGTGAGAGAGGGCCACCTGTGCACAATTGGCATTAGAAAGTGCTAGACCTTCTTTCGCACAGAGGAAAGTTGTCTAACCCCTTTTCTAAGCCGTTAAGCAGCATTAGCATCATAATACCACTGAAATTCTGCTACGAAAAATCCTCTTTTCAGCATGGACAC